TCTGCACATTTTACACAAAGTATTTTAAGTGAAACTATAGTAATTTATGTAAGTAATAAAATCATAGAATGTCTTGAGTTGGAAAGGACCTTTAAAGGTCCTTTATTCCAACCTCTCTATAGTCTTAAACTAGATGAAGTTGCCCAGAGCCCCATCCAATCTGACCTTCAATGTTTACAGGGATGAGGCACCTACCACCTACCTGAGCAACCTGCTTTAGTGTTTCTTCAACACTTCTATTATAAAAAAATTTCTTCCTTGTATCTAGTTTAAGTCTACTCTCTCCTAGTTTAAAACCATTATCCCTTGTCTTACCACAACAAGCCCTACTAATGTTTTTCCAAATCTTTCTTTTAAACCTATTTTAAGTACTGAAATTTAACACAAAGGAATTGATTTGTGAAAATGATGGCCTGCAGAAGGGACTTTTAGTGAGCACATCTTCACAAAGCATTTCTAAGCATGCACATGCTCATGTCACAATCTTCTACAGGGCTTATCAGTTTCATAATCAGTTAACATTTCCTTTCCAGGTATATATCAATCAAATTAGAAAATATACTGAAAGATAAGATGAACCACTTACAGTGCTCTTCCCAAACTAAGCTACTATTATTTTGCTGGAAATGCAGTTCATGCAGAGAAAGAGACTAAACAAATTCAGCTTAAAGAGAGGAAAGCATAATGTGATATTCAATATAGTAAGTTAAATAGGTCAGTTAAGAAGAGATTCCAGGTTACATTTTTCTGACAAAATTGCACATTTTATACTCAAGAAATGGAAGATGGTGGGGGAGACACATTGCAGAAGGAGCTACATATACTGGCTGCCATTCTTGTGGCAGTTTAACAGGGAAACTGAAGACTTTGTTATTTGCAGGCAGCTCACGTAAAAAGTGTCTTAACAAGTTACTCTGCCTTCTGTTCAATCATGAACCTCTTTTCACAGAGGGTTCACAGAGTTTCCTAACTCTTCTTTTTCTGTCTGTAGGTTTTCTTGTTCTAAGATAACACCTTTGGAGAAAAAATCATGTTTTTACATCAGCAAACATCTGCTGTTTTTCTAACCAAAATAGGATAGCTCATACCCTTTGATAGAAAAAGCTAAAATAACTTCTTCAGTTCTCCAAGTGATTGCAATGCAAATAATAACTCTACTAAAAAGCTAAAGGCCAGTATCCATTTAAAATAACATCTCTATCTAAAGAATATTTTAACTATGCCTTTCTTCCCTCTTTTTCTTCTGCCAACTTTTCCAGCGCTGATTCAATAGGTCTTTGTTTTGGACATTTGTTTAAAAGATTGAATGTGCCAGTAAATACCAAGAAATTTCTAATTTCATGTGTAGACTTCAAGGGCAAAGTGAGATTGGTAGCATATATTCGTTTTTTAGTTTTAAAAGCTCAAATTTTAATTACATTTTCCTATGTTAAGATACAGATGCATAACAGATGATCACTTACACTGGATGTTTTAATTTTATTATTACAAAAGCTACAGAGTAGTATAGCCCTTGGAAAAGCTGCATAGTACAAATTAAATGCCAGAAGCTCCAGCAAATGGTACATCTTGGGATCCACAAGCACGTGAAGAACACCTGCAGCATTCATTTTCTAAGTGTTCTTTGTGTTCCAAAAGCCTTCAGATATTTGTATACACCCATAATGTCTTTGTAATGTGAATGCTAAAAATTAAAATGTGGCAATATGAACACTAGTCAAGCTTTATTTCAAAATTCATTAGGAAGCCATTTAGTACATCCAGCTCTGCGTAATTAAAATAGGATAACTGTCCAAACAAAGAATGAAAAGAAGAATCCTAATAATAAAGAAAAACTGAATTTTCTCCAATATTGATTTAATTATGAAAATAATTGAATGAAGGATATTTCAGAATAAAAAGCAGTTTCTTATTAATCCAATTTTTGTAAATATACCATAACAATGTACTTCAGATTAAAAAAAATCCTTATGGTTGTGATGACAACCATATTTACTGATAGTTTGGAATCGCATTGCCTACTCTGTTTGAAACTTGAATTTTTCTTTTTCCTTATAATCTGGAAAGTGCAACAAATCAACAAAAGTGAGAAAAGTGACCTAGGAGCTAAGAGATATGAGTGTAGGCACAGAGCTCGAGGAAAAAATATTTTCTGAAGAGAAGTTCATATAGCAGTAGTGTACCCTATACAGCACAGTATATATTTCAAAGGTTAGGTTGCTTATTTTAAAAACTCTAAAATTTATGAGGCATTTCAAATGATGGAATTATCTGCACCTTGTTCTGAACATTATTTTACTATTAATTTCCAAGGTAAATTTTTATCATGTTAGTTTTTAAATATTCTCTAAAATACATATATTTATCATGCCAAATATGAGATATTCATATAGAGAGTACCTTCTATAATCCTGAACTCCTCCAGACCCTCGAATTTATAGTGCTGCATGCTTAATAGCAGCATAATTGAAGTCTGTGAATAGTATTTCTTGACTAATCCATTCAGTACCAATAGCAGAACCAAAGAATTCTAGACATCCAATTCTACAATACACAAGGTTTGGTTATTTTACTGATATGCCTTTCCATTGAAGGATTTCATTACCTATTTCTGGTATGATGAAGATGAACAATAAAGAGCTAATTTTTCCCCTGTTTAAGGCATATGTCAGGGCAAAGGCAGGCTGCTTGGACAGGACAGTGGAGCTGGAAACCAAGAGCCACAGCAGGGTGGGCAGAGCAAAGCTCTCTTTGACAAGGATGCAGTCCCATGGCACCTGAACAAAAAAGAGAGCAACCAGGGCCAGCTAATGTATCAATGACTGCCAGATGAGGATATAATAACAGTACAGATCTGAGGTCAAGGCGGAAAGATGAGTCAGCAAGGCAGGGCCTGAAGAGATGATCACCAGAGTGCCACACAGATCAAGGCAAGGCTATAGTAAATGAGGCAGGTGTGATTTGAGCTGCTCCAAGTGTACTCCCAGCCCAGGCAGCAAAACCTCTGGGAGAGCAGGGTATGCACTCTGGCCCTTGATATAATGTTACATTTCAAGTGCTCATTGAACTTTCCCCTGACTTATTTTTCCAACCCTGATGGTGATTTTGCAGACACCTAAAGAGACTATGCCAAACCTTTTACAAAAAGAAAGCTAAAACAACAGAAATAACAGTGATGGTCAATATCAATTGTTTCACTGACCTAACAGCCTTTGGAATAACTAGGATCACCAGTATGGGAATTATCCTTTGCCTTACTATCCCCATAGAAAATCACACTCTGAAAAAAATTGTGCACAGTCCCCTCAGTGAATTACTGTTGTGTTTGATGTATCCACTATATCTACAGCAATAGTACAAAAAAATGCCCATTTAAAAGTGGTATTTGAGGTGCACATGGCTTGTAAATTCTCAGTATGAATGACTTGCACAAGGATGAAATATGTCCATCTTCTTCAAAGAGGAAGGTCTTGGTGAAAGACATGAGTCCATGGCAACTTAGAACTCCAGTGAGTATCTGGAAATCTCCTGGAAATTGGAGCATGGTGCTTCAAGGCTCAATAAACACTTCAATCCTTCAAACTTTATTTGTTGCCATGTCTAAATTAAAAGTATTTCCTGTAAAAGATTTTCACATATTTCATTTGTATCATTGTGAGTTATGTAAATGAAAAAATACTAATTCCAACAGGGAAGGACCTCTACAATCGGAATTTGTTTTACAGAATCAATGTTCCACCTAAGTTTTATAAGTGATTTGACTGTGGAAATGAAGTCTCCTGTATTGATTTGACATAAAATTGAAAACAGGTTCTACATTTTAGCCTCGATGAATGACAGATGCAGCAGGAATACTGAGTCTCTCTGCTTCCTCTTTTGAAGAAGCAAACTTTGGGAATGGTTAGTGGACCTCTAAGACACATGAACTCCTCAACTCAGCAACAAAAATACACTGTTTTTTGTAATGATTAAATAAATATGTGTGAAGTGTGAGGCCCATAGTGTCCAATTAAATGGAGCCGCTAATGTTTCCCTTTTACGATTAATTCCTCCATGAAAGGTTTTCTATGTGAGACACCAAAAAAGCTTCAGCATACAAGCAAAAAAAGAGAGACATTTTAAAAAAAGGAAGAAGGAAAATGGGAGGGATGGGGAGGGAAAGGGGAAAGCCCCATTGTTGCCTTTATAAAGGACAACCAGGGACCTGGTTCAGATGGCAGCACGGCAGCCTGGTCTCGGCCAGGCTGCTCGGGCTAATCAACAGACGCAGATACCAATGTGGCAGACGGTTGAAAAGCGTTTATTATCCTATCTCATGGGTTTAAATAGTTTTTAGGGGTCTTTGCTACGTCAGAGGGGGGTTGGGGGTCTCAGGGGTTAGTCGGGTAGTGGAAATTTACCAGAGCAGGTGTGGCTACATTCTTCTGGGACTCCTGGGGTTAATAGATAAGTGGGGAAGAGAGAGGGGGAGGGGTCTATCTTTCCGTGACATCCCGTGGTGGTCTTCCGCTCCGCCTGTCCCTATCTACTACACCCCATCTACTAATAACACTGATGACAAGAGACTCAACTCTGGTATAGTAATACACAAAAAGTATCCATTCACTCTTATGTAATGCTTTGGATTCATTACATATTTATGAGTCCTGAGCCAGATAGTAAGGAATTTTGGCAGCTGTCAGATGCTTGTTTTCCTATGTAACAAAATGAATTTTTTCTCCAAGTAATGAAAAAAATGTGATATTTTCCCAGCCTTATCTTCTTTATTTAGAAAACAAGCAATCATCTAGGAAATAAATCTTGGAACATAATCTTAAGGAATTTTAACTAATATGAATGAGCAATAGGGCTTAGTTTTCCATAGATACACACACACACACACACAAAAAAATTCCCAAAACAAACCAAAACAAACCAAAACACAACAAAACATACCTTTCCATTTAGCCTCTTGAAGGTAAGTCCTGATACAAGAATATTACTACCAAAAAGTAACAATGTTCAAATCAATTAATCTTTATTCAAGGTAAAATTAAGCATACAGGAGGAGGGCTTATGCACACATAAGTGATAGGAGCACAAAATATTTGTCAATGATTTTTCAAAGACACAAAAATAATGTCACTGTAAGATGTGCCATTTATAAGCCTATTGTATTAGTTTATTGAGAATAATTTTATAAAAACACCATAATGGAGTCTATGATTTAGAAATAATATTTTTAGAAGTGTTCCACTCTGTATATAACTACATAAAAATGTTTGCATTTAAAATCAGAAAATAACCCTTTTTTTTTTTTATTGACATTACTTGACATCACACAGAAGTGCTACTCCACGGAGTACCCAGTGCTCTGGAGGCTGACGGGTTTTAAGATCCATAGCAGCAATGTAATTAAGATCTGTTCGACTGCTCTTTTTGTAGACCGGACATGAATACAGACATGGATCTTTTGCAGCTGAAAAGACAAAAGAGACATAAAGAGCAATTAAAGTTGAAAAAATGAGGCCCTAAGGGAATGATCATAAGGCAAATGGAGAACTGAATTCAAGTTCAATAGTACTCTGCTCTCTATTTGCTATTGCCAGTTGAAGGACATATCATGGTTTGAAATTTCTGTGGGTTTAACATGAGCACCTAGGAACAGATGCAAACCACTATATGTAAATAGACACTCTAGAGTAATTAGTGTTCTTATTGCTTTAATCTGCCCACTGAACATTACTTCTTATCAATGTATTATAACAAAATAAAATTTCCCTACTTTCAACAACCTGGTTTGAAATTTATTTAGTATTTGTACTATATACTACAAGTCAACAGCTACTTCACTGCAGAATTAGAACAGTAGTCTAGTCATGCTCAGTACTTCAGTATTCATGATTTAGTATCTTGGCTGCTGATCATGCCTTTTGTAAAACATTACCTATGCAAAATAGGATGCTAGCAAGATTTGCTTTTAGAGTGGAATGCTTTTCAACAGAGTTTTCCAATTTTATGTCTTGCAGTGGATTATTCTATTCTGTTTTATATGTCTATTCAGTAGCATGTCCTATTCTATATGCAAAACCCCATCACATTAAGATAAATTACACATTTTCACAGTGCTGTCCTTAAGCCCCATAAATTTCCTTTCCATTCCTACATTTCTTTACTGCCTCAAAGACAAAACATCTCCCACCACCTCACTCCACCTCTTGCTTGCTTCCATGAACTCAAAATCAGACTTGTCCAGAAAAAAAAGTTTTTATAAATATACACATTATATATATGTGTATATATAAAAAAATATGTTATCTATAAATACAATATATACCTGTATATGTATATATATGTGTGTGTGTATGTATAATCTATGAGTATCTTGTATGTTGTATATACATACAAACATATATTTATATATATATATATAATAATTACATTCATTTTTGACAGGAGTCTCGTGGTTTGACACGGAAAAAGAATTTTTCCAGAAAGAAGTGGTCAATTTAGACATTGACCAATTAAAAATAAACATGCCTCTGAGAACACAGAAGAGTTAAAGGCAGAATTCCCAAAAGAACTTGCTCTCTTGGGTACCGGTCAGGACTCTCCCCTGCCCGGCAATGAGCTGGGTGGGGGAGGGGAAAAGCCATGTGGCCTTCAGAGGTAGGCCCAAGGGTGGAGGAACTAGAACTGGCCCCTTGCAGATAAAAAGGTAGGGAAATCTAAAATGTCTCCGTCCCCCTCCCCTCCCCCCCCGAGTCCCTCTCTCTTCAAAGAAAAAAAAAGAGACAACAGTAGTTTTGCCAACAGTTCACCGCAGAAAAAAGAGAAGAGCGGGGGGGGGGGGGGGGGGGTGCCCAGCCGGGCTGTGGGAGCTGGAGCCTGGGCAGCAAGCCATCTTTGTGAGTCAGGACTTTTAACCCTTCCTTAAAAAATAAAAGCTTTATAAAATTTTTCTCCTTCTCAGTTTAAAAGAAAAAAAGAGAAACAGCCTGGGACCTAAGATGTTAGAAAGAAAAATTCTAAGTAAAAAGAAATAATAAAGTAGCTTTTAGCTAAACTTTTTCTTAGTAGCCACAAACTAAACTAATCTTCTCCTCCAAAAAAGACTGTATTTTAGGAAGATGCCGGCGAGTCAAAGAGACCTGCTTCAGCTGGGAGAAAACAAAAATAGAGCAAACAACAACAAAAAAAAAATTAAAGAAATGTATAGTAGTACCCCCTATCTTCGCAAAAGAGGAAGAAAAAAAAATCTCTGTTCTTAGATCCTCGGCCCCAGGGGAAAATGGGGGGGGGTGTTGGTCCCAAAAATAAAAAACTAAACTGTTATTTTTTCCCCGCTTGGCAGGGCATCCTTAAAAGAAAAAATCCTAAAAAACAGTCTGTCCATCCATGCATTAATAGTAAGAGCACTGTGCATAGAGAAAAAAGAGTCACCATTAGCAAACTTTTTCTCCGGGCGGTGCCATGTGGTGACATGGAAGCACAGGTTGTGGCAGCTGTGTTTCTTAGGGGGTCGGTGGCACAGGAAGGGCTCCTCTCTCCCTGAAGATGGACTGGGTGTTAATTACCTAGAGAGTAAAAACCTGATTGGGGTCCAGGTTGTGGTCCAGGTTGTGTCTCACTATAATTTATTAGAGTTGAGTAGTAGGAAGAAGAATGCTTTAGAAAGTTTTCATATTAAATTGTATATATTTTCTTTCTTCTTTTTTTTCCTCTTTTATAATAGCATAGTAGTAGTACCTTAATAAAGTTCTTTTCTTATTATTAAGCTTAAGCCTGCTTTACTCTGTTCTCAATCGCATTTCACAGCATTCAATTTAAAAATTACATTTTCATAAAAACACTAACATTGTGCCAGTGTAAAACCATAACAAGGAGCGAAAGAGATTATTTAGATTTAGGTTATGGAGGCTGCAGAGATCACAGAGTTTATGTATAAGAAAAATGGAATTTTAGGTCCGGGACATATATTGTCAATATGTACAGCTTACCTGTTACAAAGCACTTAACACCATTAACACCACGTATAGAGACCTCTCTAAATATTAGGAAAATTGACTACTATCAATTATGAAGCAAGTCTGAAAGCACATTTTCAATGGAAGACTGGGAAGTCTTCCCCATTGAAAGAGATTTGCTACGTATACAATGATTAGCAGCAGCCTCATGAAATCCCTGCAGCCCAAAAGATTTCAATGCAGTTAAATAAAATGTTACCTTGAATTCAATGGAAATAACATCCTTTACCATACTGTTACTTACTGTTATTCTCTGCATATATCCTTATAACTGGCATCAGCTCAAAGAGCACCTTGGGCTTAGATTCTGTCAGTCTCATGTTTCTTCTGTCCCAACCAGCTCCTTCTAAATACAGCCCATACACAAAGACACCTTCTGAAGGAGGGCTCGTGATATCATCCTTCATCCATTTAGTGACTTCATTGCACAGCACTACACTGTCAAGAGCCCATCCTTTGTGGGCTCTTGTTATTTCCTGCCCAAACCAGACAAAAGTTAGGTGGTTACATTTTCACATGAGCACAGAATCCTTTTTCACAGCAGTTATTAGAAATATATTTGTATGATCATAAAATATCCTCTTTAGTACAAAAAAATCCCACCAATCCTTTACAATAGTCATGTTCAGAGAAGTCTGACTTTCCTCTAAGGGAGTAATGGCATGGCACTGCAAGAAAGCTTTCAGTATTTTTTCCACTATATTTGATGTTAATTTCTTTCTATTATATAAAGTATCTAAAAGAGTATACCAAGTAATACAGCTGCTGGATGTCAATAGTAGCCAGCTTTTGTGAACACAAAAATTTCAAAAATTTGATGAGATGAGAAAACATTACCTGCATGTGGTAAGTGAAACATATTTTCTGGGGCTACCTTCCTTTTACTGCACCTCTACTCTTCAATAACTGAATTTCTAATGAGTAAGAACTCACTCAGCTATAAAGCTATGTAAAGAAACTGCAAAAAACCCTGTTAGTTAGTGCACTGGGCAATACTCAACTCTCTGAAGCCCAGTTCTTTACTATGCCATGCAAATAAGTTATGGCAAACCCAAGTTTTATCTTAGTTTTCCAATGGCTTCAAAAATCTTTCTTTGAAGTAATTGGAACGAATGCTTGCCCTGTACTGCAGTTACATGGATGATCTAAAAGAACTCAAGATTTATAGCTCAATGATCATTCCTCCTTCTCATTTCTCTTTGTTTTACAACACAGCAAAGTACAGAAACTCACTTTGATATTTACTTGGGATATTATGTTGTTACATATTCACAGTTCCTTTTTACAGAACCATAAATTTCTGTCATTTCCAACTGGTTTCAATCCTGCTAGTAAACCTTTTCCATAAGCTTGGATGCAAAAGATAGTCCTATTTTAGGATTGTTCACTCAAAGAAATATTTTGTTACAAAGTTTGGGCTTTTTTTTCCTGAGGTCCCATTGTATTTTCACCTGAGTATTCTTTTTTAATTTTACACACTCCAGATGCTTACTGTTTCCTGTATATCCCTTTATGCTGACCAACACAGGCATTTATTGCTTCATTTTAAAGTAAAAATGTTGCTGAGCAGCCAACACAATCACCAAATTAACATACATGCATTAGCAAACACATCTAATATCATATTTCTATGCATCAATAAAGGAAAATCTTTCCCACTTCCTGAAGAAAGACTTAATCAGCTACTGAACAGCAGCAGTGAAATGTAAGACTAATTCTGAATAGTTTATCAGCCCATTCTCCAGTCAGGTATGTACTGAACATAGAACAAAAAAAAAGGGGGGGAAAGGCAAATTCATGGGCTTAATGGCCATTCTCAAAGATATCTCAATGGAAACATGAGACTAAATATTTTTCTAGTCTACCTTAATAATGTTGTGAGGTAGCCTCTACTCATTTGGGGCTTGGTCAACACAGGAAACATAATTTAACACATTAGTGGTTGTTATACTGAAAAAGTGTATGTGAAGGAAGAGCAGTTAACTCAGGAAATGTTAGACAGTCACAATCTTCCCACGTGTATAAACTCATCCTTCATCAGATAATACTTTCTGTTAAAAAAAGCATGTAAAAAAATAAGCAGAATAAGATTTCAAACGCAATTTACCTGTCTCACTGCAGTTAAAAATCCTTGGGGATTAAAAAAACCTGTCATCCAGAAACAGTTCGGTCGACTTTCAAAAATCCACTTGTAAAACTGGTGGTTTCTTTCTAGAAGATCAGTAAACCAGAAACCAAGTGTACTGGAAGGCCAAGATGCCTAAAAACCGTAAACATATTTTAAAATTGCACATTGCTGTCAAGCAAAGCTACATCTTCCCATGGTAATAAACAATATAATATTAGCAAATCATATTTGAAGATCATCTATCATATCTTAACTTTAATCTGATGCTTAAACTTTGCATCCCACTGAAACCTGAAGGAAATTATTTTTATGTTTAAAATCATGTCTACTATTCCATTTACATGTTCAATGCTCTCTGTGGAATTGTCCATTTTATGATATTTTTGCAAGGTTAGACAGCTGTATAAGAGAAAAAGAAAAGTTGTATACATGTCTTTATAATTCCAAGGTCAATATAGCAAGACAATGTGATTTCTGTAGGACTGTTCTGCATTTTTATTCTTCTGAATAAAATCTAAGGAAAACTGAACTTGGACTATGTGGAGATATAGCTGTGTTGTGAAGCATCTGTTCACATCTAGGTTTTCTACCATGAAAACACTTTTCCAGTAGAAACAAAACAAGCAAATAACAAAAAAAAACCCCTTTTTTCTTAAAAAAAAATAAAAAATCTTTCCATCAGTTGCCATTAAGAGGTCTAATTATCCCTGAAAACAATTTATATGGGGAGAGGCTGAGATCTGGGATTGTTTCGCTTGGAGAAGAGAAGGCTTAAAGGAGGCTTAAATAGGTTTATATTTCATGTGGAGGACTGAAGAAGATGGAGCCTGATCCTTTTCAGCAATTGGACAGAAGACAATGGGAACAAGATAAAATGTCAGAAATTCTGTTTCAACTTAAGGAGTTTTTTGTTTGTTTGGCTGGTGGTTGGTTGATTGGTTGGTTTTTACTGTGAAGATGATCAAAGAGTGGAATGGGTTGCACCTCTCTGATTCTGGAGACTCCTGGAAAACCTAATTTAACTGACCCTGCTTTAGGAAGTGTGATTAAACTACACTGTCTCCATAGGTCCTTTCCAGCATCTACTATTCTGTAATTATGTGGCTATTACTCAAACTCAAAACACACTGATTTTGACCAAAATGGACAGGCCACTTCTACTTAACCCAGAAAAGGATGTCCAATAATTATATATGTCCAATAAATAACACCACCTTAGTCCACTAATGTGGGTGCTAATTTTTAAAATCCATCATCATATTTTAAATTTCTCTCCTCTCTCTGGGTTTTTATACTGCCAATATGTTAAATATGGCAGTATAAATATGCCAGACGGTTAAAATGGAACAAAGTTGCATCCTTCACATTCATTTCAATTTTCATAAATGAAAGAAGGCTTGTTTTGAGTATGTTTATTTTAGCACAAAATCTATTCCAGCAGTTGCACAGCTCTGGTTAACACTTCTGAAACATAGTTTGAAAAAAATGTTTACTCTAAGTCTAGCAGTTTAATCTAGTCTTCAGAAATAGATTTTTTTATTTCTTTCCAGAACAAGTGATGTACATCTACCTTTTTCCAGTTAGCAGGAATCCTTCCATCATACATGCAGTCTAAAGCATCCCTCAGATTTTCACTCATAACTATTGTCCCATCAATGGCAAGTTTTAGATCAGTCAGAGTGCTCCTCACTAAAGAAATAACTCTCTGCATTTGTTCAATCTCCTGTCGCAAAAATATGTGCATAGGTTGAAAAGGTCCCATATTCTTTAGTTTTTCTTTTACCTGTTTGTAGAAAACCAAAGATCTTTCAATAAAAGTGAAAAAAATAAAATTTGCTTTATGTCAATGCTAGGCCCCAGTATGATCTTTGAGACATAACATAATTTATTTATGAGCTTAAATGGTCAGTTTGGCACCTCCTTTGAATTATCTGCAAGAGAGAAACACAGGATTTTTCCCAAGAGAAATCTGTGATGCTGAGACTGACTATGTTTTTAGTCCAAGTCATGATTTAGTCTTTGAGCTAATTCCATTTAAAGAACTTGTAGGCTGTTTACGTTAGTTCAGAGAATTCAGCTTTAGTTCCAACAAGCAATTCCAAGGTTCTTTTTGAACAAACTAATAAAGAGTAATTGCCCCAGCCACTTTGCTTCAGCATAGCAGCAATGCCTAGGAACTATCACAATACCAGGCAGTCCTGTATTCTAATCAAACTCAATGATACATTTTTAATCAAAAGTGTAAAATAAACAAATAAACAGCTGCATTAACATAACTAGAAATTTTATAGTGTCAACAACCTCAATTAAAAGCTGATGATCCTACCTCCCTCATAGTGCAAATGACAACTTAAACATTAACGGGTTTAATATTTCTGAAAAAGTCCTTACAAAAGCACTTCAGCACACATTTAATGACTTCATTGTAAACATCCATCGTTTGGCCACTTTTATTTAAAATACAAAGTATTACCTGTAAGAATTAATTCAAACATGCTTTTAGAAATGTTTTTGGGAATTTGATGGTGTTTTTTATTTTCAGTCCATAAAAGACAAGATGGACCAAATGTTTTTGCCAGAATTTCATTAACTCACTTCAAATGGTACATAATCAGCAGGAAGTTTTTCCAGCATATCATCAGCCAGTGTGGCTACAACTGCCTCTCGAGTTTCGCCTCCTCCACCAGAGCTATCTTTAGGCTGAATACTGAGGATGGTGTCCAATACACCTCTGGAAATTTTACTTTGGTAGGTGATATCCGCATTGGGGTGCAAACCAAACACCTCTGGTGTGTCATAAGCAGGAAGGCTCTACATAGTAAAATATAAGAAGAGTACAATGGGAGATTTAGAAGCAAATTATTTTTAAAAAACCCCCCCCCCCAAAAAAACCCAAAAAACCACTACATAAAACTCAACACACAACAAAATAAAATAAAAAAGAAAAAACCCATCGATTACTGTTAAGTAACAAGCTAGATTTCTTCAAATAATCTTAAGCCAAATAACTTGCTATGGTCTGTTTGTCATGTCACAGCCCAAACCACACCAAACTTATTGTGTTTTAACAACTATACACTATTTTAATAATAAACATTTACTCTCATATACCTAGACCTTTTATTTCAAAGAGGTTGTACCCAATGTCTGGACTCCATTCTTTGCCCCCTTTAATAATTTTGTGCCTTTAGGTATGTCCCACAAGCAAAACACATGAAAAAGAAAATACATATTACTGTCATGAAAATTATAACATTGATAACCAAAATTAGTTATCACTAATAGATATGCAAAGTGCTAGAAATCAGTTTAAAAATCTATGAATGAAAGACAAAATACAGGTACTCAGAAAAAAACACAAACATTATAGGGAATCAGGAACTTATGAGAAACAGTTTTCATTTACCAACCTGTATGTACTGAAGGTATTGATCCACCATAGTATATTTGGGTATGCTGTATCCTTTGTAGAAACTGAATTCCTGACTGAATGTGTTTTCACTGAACCAAATCTTTACAAAGGTGTTCATGAGTCTTTTGTCGAAGTCATCTGTCACACGACCACCATACTGGATCTCACCTATCATGTAACAAACAGTACTCCAGCAGATCCCCTAAAACCAAGCAGAAACCACTGGCTTCAGCTAATCCCCTCTTATTTACTTAGACTTCCCTTAGAAAAAACAGCTGATGTCTGTCCCATTTGAAAGGGATTCCCTGAACACCTGCAAGGATTTCTCAAAATAGAATTTGCTGAAATTAAAAAGCATCTTGAAGATAGCAAGAAGGTTACAGATATATTTGAATTCTCCTTTCACTTAAAATGCCAACTGCAAACTGCTCTGACACAGACCTCTCTGTATGACAACTGACCATATGAAAGTGAGAAACATAGGAGACATTCTTGTATAGTCATTTAAAACCACTTTTGACTTCTTCATGCTGCAAAGATAGGTGACAGGGGGAAATCTTACTTTTACTCGACATAGATTTAAACACAAGAGTATTTGAAATATCTCTTTTAAACTAATTGACTTAATTAGAATTGAAAAGAAGGCCTATACTTCTAAGGTTTATATTTCTGAGATGGCTGGAAAGGCTTTTTTTTTTAATGTAGAGGTTAATACAGAAATTAAATATGCACTGGATTAGAAGTCTAAGTCTGCTGCTGACAGATATACTTGAAATATTGAATATTTGTGGAAAAAACAATAGTTAAAATCACTTTTGTAGTTAAGTTACTAGGAAGCATTTGCATACATTCTACTACTTGAAAGATCCATCATCTTAATCCACCTTTCCCACAGAATCATTAATTACCTTCTTGGTATCCATGCGATTCAAGTGGTTTTGAATGAACTGCACGGCAACATTGAAATCAGCTTGATTAAACTCATAGGGAATATTCCAACCCAGAGACCCGAATTTGCATCTTTCTTGAATGGTGGAGTGCAGAAAGGCTACAGCATACAACAGTGGTTTCCATTGCACCATTTTACTGGCATCTAATAAATCCTGGTTGACACCTATTGATTGCAAATGGGCTTTATGAGAATCACTGTAATTGTTTTTTTCAAAACTACTTCAAATCAGTGCTAAAATATCACTCTAGAAATATTCACTTGGCTCTCTGCCTCTCCCAAGGGTAAATTATTGTCCCCCAAAATGTTCTGCGCTGGAGACAGTTTATAGCATGCTTTTAAATTGCTCAAATTAAAAGAGTAAACTTCAGGGGGAAAAAACCCCACTATTTACTAATAGCTGAATTCACATCAAGTGGCTTTCTGCACAGACTTGGTCCTTTATTTTATGTAGTGTAAAGAGCATTTGATGGCTAACCATGCCATTTTTCTGCCAAAAGACAGAATATTAAAAATTCAAACACTTTGAACTGAGATACCAAAAGCCAAATTGTGAGAAAAGAAAAGGCATTTGTTATTTAGATATACAATTAGTTGTGGCAACAGAACATCAGCAAATCTTCTTTTTAATTTTCAAAACAAAAACTAAGATTTGCGCTGGTATCATTGCAAGCAGTTCCTCATACCAGCTTACACCTACTACCAGTTTAACCTGACCACACAATAGCATCACCGTCCAAAATCATTAGCATTCTATCACTCACCACTGTATGTTCTCTTTAGTCCAGCTCTGAGCCCTTGTGGTGGTTCATTGGTAAACTTAATCGACATTTGAAGAAGGGTGATGGGGAATTGTTTGTGAATGTCAGTTGTAATCCAAAGTCTAAAGCTTTCATGAACATTCTCTGTCTCTATTGCTGTGTCCATTAACTCATCCAGAAAGTCAAGTCCAAGGTGGCAGTTTTGCAGAAGTGCCCAACCTCCCTAGTTTAAAACAATAGATTTTAAAAAGTTATCAACATTGTTCAAAAACTGAAATCTCCTTGATGGGAGCTAAGATCTGGCTGTTTCTTCTGAAGATGGTGTTAGCTTATTTGGTTTTTTCACCTGAACAAGTGGTTCCTACTTGTCTCGTCTGGTCTATTTAAATATTCTCTACCTTTTCCATTTCAATACATTTAAAACATACCTTGTCATGACTACAGCGCTGATAGGAACTGATAAATTTTGACTTACATAAGGGAGCTCAGGAGTAGCTCCACAGAGCAACCTGCTAAACCTTGTTCCTCACAGGGGTTCTAGGCTTGGAAAATAATCAAATAAACATACATTATTAACCTATTTCTATCAATATATAGATGTCAAACTTATCTATATGAATTACCATATTTCATTATAGGCATCTCATATACCTCTTCCCTAAGACACCTTGTGAGACAGTGAGGGAAGGTAACTGCGTTTCTCTTGACTAAACTAAAGATGCTCCTTTCCCCTGTTTTTGAATGGGTTTCTTCTCATTTGATCTGTCAATTAGTTCCTTATGAGAAATTATCAAATAAGAATCTGAAGCAAAACAGGTCATAAAAAGAAGCTCATAGCAAAGGAGATTAAGATCAGTATTTTCACATCAGCGGGCATAGCAGTAGTACCACCTGATGCGCAAAGCATGCCAGATTGGAACATCTCACCTTTCTCATACGGATAGTTTTTCTCTTTAATTCCTCATCCTGTAAAATGCCTGTTACCAGATTGTCCCTCCCAAGTCCAAATTCAGACTACAGCAATACATAATAACTTGCTATACTTATCTTGTTTTTCTCAAGTTTATGTAACTATCAATAGCATATCTGGAATTCATTTTCTTTATTTAACAAAATACATACACAGTACTAAAATAAAAAAGTGAAAATAGAATCTGAAACGCCTACAGAAGAATATTTGCTGGTGATATAATCAAAAAAACAAAAAATCAATTAAGCTCTGTTCATCAGTCTGCAATCACTCTAAAATCCCCATTTTATATGAAAAACACTCAATTTTCAAGGAAAAGCATCTGCACAGTATCAAGAAGCTTGCGGTAGCAAATTGAAGGAGTGTGAAAATACAGTTCTCTTGCTTAGGACACTTATATAAATAAACGTAGGCATTTGCATCAGCACTAACTCCCTACCACACAACATTATCTCACGGCAGGATTTTTATTTCTAAGTGCTTAATACAGAGAGAAAAACATTCTGGTTTTTGTTACTTACATGAGCCATTGTCTGCTGTAGAAGTTTACGAGCATGGATTCCTTGCCCCTGGCCCATGGAAACACAATATGTTTCTATCTTCAGTCTTTTTCCCAAAGCAATAATTGAGTCCGTAGGATCAGAGCCCAGGGAAAGAAAGCATATGAGGGGAGTACATGGATCTGACTCTTCCCATGTTTTCTCCAAGTCCAAGATGACTCCCTCTGTGTATTTCTCCCCCATAGTGTCAATGATATATTTTCTTGCCTATATTAAAAAGGGTAAATTTAACTTGTGACCTAACCATTTTATACTGTTTTCTTCCCAGTGTAAATGTTACCAAAAGGTCAACTGAAGACCAAAGAAATTTAAAAATTTATATCAAAAATATAAATATACAACAAGTTTATTTTTACATGTCAACACATCATACTGTCTTTGAAGGTATTATTTTTTATAGCCTTATACAACCAGTGAATTTTTAAAAAATAATTATTATATTACATATATCTGTATGTATTTATATATATAACCATAATTAGAGTATAATAGAAAAAAACAACTTCTCTGAAACTTTAGAAAAATTTTAATGATTTAAGGATATCTCCATTAGATAGTGTAACTCTTAGCCTCAGAATCTAGAAAAATAAGAGAAAAATACTAAAGATGGGCTTCAAAGCTTGTAAGCCTTTCTCACTCTGCAGTAAAATAAGCAAAGAATTAACAGTAGTAATGATTAAAATAACTATCACTAAGTAGACAATCCAGAAGAATAGGTGAAAACCAACTCTTCTCCCCTCTTTATTTATCTTTAAAAATTCTAGATTATTGTTCTTTTTCTCAAAGAAATAGACTCTTTCAAACAGTCTGAGATAGTCTTTCTTACACTCTTTTCCCCCACACAGCTCTTGTCTTAGATAAATCTTCCCCTTAACACCTCTGGGTTACCTCTCAGAGACAAAAGAAATTCAGCATATAACTTTTGATACACTATCAGTTTTCATAAAACCATGGACAGATGAAAGTTTACCTTGCACCATTAACAGTAAGGAGGAACTAATCTTGTGTGATCTGTTTCAGACACATAGCAGACATCATAGAGATATTCATTATACAGTACTGCTTAATCTATTGACTGCAGTTACACCAGTAACTGGTGAGATTTTCTCTGAATCCAATCACAATGTCTAAAGATATGCATCAATAAAATTAACACCACACTTCAAGTGATACATTCTAATTTCAGTAAATCATCATTAATTGTCCTGAATTGTCAGTAATATTATAAATTTTTGTTCTTTTGTACTGGAGAAGAACATAAAGTTTAAAAATAAGTTCCTAGAAAATTATTTTTCTTTTAAAAAGGTCTATTTAATAAACTTCAGTTTTGTAATTTTTAAATAGATATGTATAAATTGAGAACTTTGAGCAGACTTTATTAAAGATTTTTCCAAAGTGATTCTAATTCTTCCATGCAAGAAATAGTTTCTCAATTAAATTGTTTTCAATTTTACCTCATCCAGTCAAGTTCATTAAAATATTTGACTTCAGTTTAACACAGTGACACTTCTAGCGTTCTAGTGAGTAAGCAAGGATAGTCAAAAGTATCGTCTGAACTACTAAAGCACATCTGGATAAACACATATGATTCCAGCAGAAATCACCACAGTGGGTAATATTTGTTCAATATATTGGAATAATTTTTTATCACTGCCCTTGTAACAAATACATAAATAGTCTGAAAGGAATTTCAGAAAATACAACATAAAGGTCCATTACAAAATGGACCGTTAGCATTATATAAGATAGTACAAACCTGCAATCTGAAAACTATTACTGTAGTGATACCTAAATAGAACATGTAGGCTATAAAAATATACCTGAGCTATGGTCCTGTCAGGACACCAAGATCTGATAAGAAGAAGAAGTCTGAAGCAGTCCAGAGATTGACCATAGCCACTAGGAACCGATTCTTCTTCGGGATTCTTACTATCAAACCAGATTTTCCACTGTTTCTCTTCTCTGGAAATCTGCAATTATACCACCAAAGAAGCAAATATTACTAAACAGACAAGTCATATTTGCGCTGCCGCTAGGTCGCAAACTTTTAATGAGAGTCAGAGATGTGAAATTCACACCCAGGCATTTGTTTAGAGTCATTCTTCCACAGATTTAAAAAGGCTATTAAAAATTATAGGATAAAATTTCAGATTATAAGTATGCTATTGTAGAATACACAGCCCTGGAGTATTCATATTCTGAAAACAGGAGCTATTAATCAGTATGTTATATTCTGATATAATATAGCATAGCTATGTCAGAATATGGATAGCTAGGCACAGATACAGCTTTGAGAACAGCAAGTACATAATTGCTCTCCACATGAATGTACCTTGTCCCTAACTTTTACTCCATGTAACCAGAGTAATATTGGAACAAGCATCGTAAAACATAGTGTAAGAAAGCACAACAGGGATGCAAGATAATGTAATAACCAGAATAAAAATAAATTTGCAATATATTAATTGGATAATTGTATTGGGATAATCCCAATCTGAAAATATTACAATTTTAGAAAGGATGAACACCCTACACTCTTCTTATTTTCTTGGACATGGTTGAGATTTTATATCAACATATGATGATAAGTAGTCAGGGCCATAACTGTTGCTATCTGCTGTCAGTTTTGTTTCTCTTCCATTAAATAAACCAGTTTCCACCACATGGCTGGATTGCTACCAGACAATTACTTGTTAGACAAGAGATCAACTTTCAAAAGCTCTTACGTACTTGATCAAGAATATTTGAAAACTGTTCAAGCTTACTGAGCTCCACCAAGTTCAACCAAGTCATGTCCAGAATCCATTTAGCTGGCTTAGGAGGACAAGCTTTAAGGTCTAGGGAAGCACCACCTACAAGAAATTGAAATTAGTTATTAGCACTGTTGGAGAGACAAAGAAAAATAAACCAAATAAGAAGGAAAAAAACCAAATACAATAATCCATTTTTAAAATCATGATGTTACAGAAGTTTTCTACCTTACAAAACCATGCCATATTTGATTAAGCTGAGTTTGCAATTTGGTTAATTTATAGTGTTTTTTAAATATTATGTAACTTAGTCAGAAGCATTAGCCAATTTACATTTTGAGGCTTTACTGGCTTTTTGTGCAATGTGCCTGGAAATAAAGGCTTTTTGGGAAAAGCTATTCTGAAGATTCAACATAAAAAAATTCACACATATAATCCATTAATAAATACTGCCTGGAAAACTAAGTCTCTTGAAAAGGTAATATAAAATGGATTCACACTTTCAACTGAACTCAGTGCTTGTATGCAGTTGAGGCCAAAGCCATGACCTTGTCTCATGCAGCTGAGACTCCGATGTTCTTTTAAAATGTTAGCATCATTTTCTGCTCCTATTTGCTGCAGTTACTATAATATGTTTAGTACAATAACAATTTTTTCTAAGCTAAACACATACCTGATGGTATTTGAGCAGCAGACAACAATATTCCTTTCAAATTCTCATGATTATAAAGATATATTCATCAATATTCAGTGTGCTGCTATAAATTAGAGCTGCCATATAAGGTTGTCTGTCACCAGATCAGAATGATAAACATGTATTCTTACAATTGACTGATTTCTCATGCACAAAAGGAAGGAGCATGCTGGCTAGGAGATACAAATACATAAATTTTCTAAAATAATAATGTGCTCTCCTTATAATTTTTTCATAGTTTTCACCTTTAATAAGTGTCAGAAATTCTTCATGTTTCACTCTGTTTCTTTGTATATCAATCTTCAAAGTAAGAAGTAATGTGAAAAGAAATTTATGCTCCTCATAGAGACCTCGGGCAGTATGTTTGAATACTTCATATGTCATATATTCAATAATATTGGTAACCCTCTTGCTGGTTATAGGGCTCTTGGTAGACCTGTTAGAAGAAAGGTCTGCAGTTGAAATTTGATTTTCTTAGGCTTTATAGAACGGGAATATTATGCAAAAAAGAAAAAGCCATAGTTCAGTATTTTCAAAACATGAAAAATAATAGATCACAAACAGAATATCAGACAGCAAGCTGGCAACAACTTTCAGATTGAGGGAACAACAACAAAAAATCCTTTCTAATCAAGTCTTTTTGTCCAGCTGAAAGTCAATGCAGTATAATGGTATTTAATTATCTAATGACAAATTTTGAGGGACTGTAAGTACATTAGAAGGGTCTTTGCCTTGTTAACTTACAAATTTTTATGGGTATTTAAGCTGACAATTCTTGATCAAGATTCTAAGAAGCAAGAGTCTTCTTTCTGATATTAGCTTACAATAAATCTTTACTGTACTACAGACACCTCCAGGAATGGGTAAATACAAATTATACTTATTGTTAGCTAAATTACCTGGCTAAGGAGAAGTCAAAAAGCCCCAAAAACTGTCGAAGTGATGTCTGATACATGACATTGACCATGCTCATCTCATTGATAAGGAAGTACAAGATGCTACCTCGTGTTGCAACTGAAGAGCAGGAAAAAAAATTTGTTCAAAGTAGAAATGTAGAGCAGAAAACTTTAACTCTCCAAAACACATACAATGATCTTCACACTAATGATAACTGAAGATCCTTGAATTTCTCTATTCTTTACTGCCAGAAAAATAATAAGATCATTCATTTAATCCTCATGTATACATCAGGGGAAAAAATTCTGTTCTGTAATTAATGCAAACTATGTAAAGCCCAGTTTTCTAATATGAGCATATCTGGAGATCTGCAATATTCAGATCATCAGCAGAACACATGAAAATTATGGCTGTTTAAAATACTGTTTAAGTATCCAAACAAATTTCTTTTTACAAACTTTTACAAGATTCATATAGAAGAAATGAGCTATATTGATTGAACTTACCCAGCACTGATTTAACTTCTTTTCAGGAGTCATTCAGTTTTAAACACAAAGGTTTTACAACAGCTGCAATGTTTCTGGTACACTAACTGTATCCTCTTACACATTTCATAGAATACAGACAATTACAGAGAGCTATTTTTTCCCTGTTTTCCCTGCTTTTTCACCTGTCAGTTAAAAGTCAAAAGACTCATGAAATTTGTTGACTATAACAACCAAAGGATAAATGGTGAAGCATTCATCAGAACAGATATAGAGAGTACCTAATGTTTTACAAGCTCTGAAAAAGAATGTCAACATGTTGAACTCAAACATATGCTTACGTAAACACCCTAATGATGTGCTTGTTTATAGAGCAATGGGAAGTCTACAAAGAGAACAATTCTCAATTTTATAATTCCACATTAGGCATAACATTGACTATTTTCTCTGTTAGCTCAATATGACATCTCGATACATTTTACTTACAGGAAAACACAGATCTCTCCCACAAATTTTGGTCTTCGTGATCTCATCCTACCATTTCTCCTACTCTAAGTATTGGTGTTTTAAATATATGGTCTAGCTATTTGTCTCCTATGACTACCTTCACTCACCAGGTCTGTACTCTTCACGGGCTGAATTGATCTGTACTTCAGTTTCAGCAGAAGCTTGCAGTTTCTGTGTTATTTCTTCAGCAGTCTTCCTAGTGTTACTCAATACAATTAGTAGAGTCTCATCATCTGCCAGAGAACTCTTAGTGCTTGTAAGTTGAAATAAAAGGTTATCTTCTAGGTCTTTAATTCTCCTTTTGTTCATAGTCACATCTTCAATAAGATCAGTTCTTTCTTTCTCTAATTCCTATTGGATTACATGGTAATATTTGGGAAACAGATGAGCAATCAAAAAGAAAAGAAAAAAACCAAATATTTAGCTTAAAAAATACTGATCCTACTAAAACGCATAGGTCAAAACTAGCTGAATTATTTTGGGGAAAAATTCCAGTGGTATTTCTGACATAATATATATTGCCAGGATCTGAACCTGCTACATAAGTAGGCATTAACAAATAATTTCTAAAAATATTATGGAAGAGCTTGTATCATGCCCTAAAAGAATAACAAGTTCACAATGATTTGTCTTCTCTTTCTGTTTCAGAAAAGACAAATGCAAACACCATTCCAGACATAGAATTTTATTCCCCTACGTGTAATCTTATCCTCATTTATGCCTTGCTTTACAATTGCCATATGGAAAACTTAGACTCAATGGCCATGCTTAGTCATCAAATCAAGCATCATATATTTCATATATTTCAAGAAGTGCCAATACTCCTCCATCAGACAGGGATAATTTCAGTCTCTCACTAAAATGCTTCATTAATCAAAAATATGTAGAACTTGAGTTACATCACTAGAATTTTTATATTCATTTAGTATATTTAGTAATACAATCTGGGTGGTTTATGTACCTAGATTCTTTTCCAGTGCCCAAATATAGAAGATGAATAACTGTTAACCAAGAGTTTTACATTAAAAAACAGCTATGTGAAATCCCTAGAAAAATATTTTTCAGTATAAAATCTGTTCAGTTCATTCTTAAAATTAACCTTTAAAAACTTCATATAAATTAGTCCATCAGAGATAAAAATCCTCTACTGAAATATAACTAAATGTTTCAGTACAGTGAAGTAAAAAGAAAGAAAAGAGAGAAGGGTTAAGAGTTTTTCATAGGAGAAGGCTAATATGAATTATGAATGAACAGTGAGCAGTTGGTAAAAATATTTGCTGTCTAGATAAATACTTCACCAAATTTACAAAGGTCTGTTGAATAATATTAACAATGTCTCTCTGAACTTGGAAGTTCTGTGTTCACTCCATCATTGCCAAGTCCATTTCCATGTTGTTTACCGCTGCTAATATTCCAAAGGAATAAGGACAGCACTAAGAAACACATACCTCTCATATAGCACTAGAGAATATGGACCTGAGCCCTTAGCAAGGCTTAAGGAAAGGTTTTACTCCCCCATTTGAGAGTCTTCTTCATGCAGCTTTGAAAAACTATTACAACTTTTGAAATTGTTTTTTTTTAAATTTTTTTCCACATTCTAACTTTTGGTCTTCTTAACCTACATTCTCCTCCTACATTCCTAATTAAACATTCATTTATTTTAAAGAATGCCCTTTACTTAAAAAGGAAATTCAGAAAATTATCTTTTATTATCAGATTTAGAGTTTTTTTCTTGGCATATTGAAACATCATAATCATCACCAGGTAGAAAATATTTAGTGGGACAATCATTTTAGAATAATGCAAATACAACATAACTTAGAGGATGTGCTTACTTATTCAAAAGATCTGACAAAAAACTGATGAAAATAGACAAGAAAACTACAGTTATCTGCATTTCAATCAACTGCTGCTTCACGGAACTGAAAAAAAGCAGGTAACAGTTTCATGAAACATTCTTTTCATGCAAGTTTGATGAAGTGAGAACTAAATTGCATTAAAAGGCAGTTATCCCCAATTAAATATAATAATTAACATACTGCGCCAAATTAAACTTCATGTTTTTCTGATTCAGTTCAAAAATTTAAACATACTTAGAATTCAATGCTTCATAAAAGCAGAAAGAAATTCTCCTCACAAGAGCCTGGAAACAAGGTGGAGACAGTTCACCAAGCTAAAGTGAAGTAACCCTAGATGAAAACCTTATAAAAGCTCTTAAGCTCATCTATTAAGCTCTTAAAATGCTTTTTGCAGATGAAAAAGTGTAAACAGTTGAAAGCTTTCTTCATAGCTTCAAAAATTTCCAGTCATAACACCAAGAATGCAGAAAAAATAAACCAAGTTATCATGTACATAAATTCAAGGAACTTGCACCAAAGAGACTATTTCAGATCCTGTTTTATGGAGTTCATTTCACAAGCAGATGACATTTTGCCAACTGTACCAAAGAATGCTATTTATTGTTAATATTCATAAAATATGAAAGCTGCTACATAGCTTATATCATCCTCTCACAAAATAATTCACAAGTAAAAGAATTTGCATCAACTGTTCCTTACAAACTCAAGCCTTTTTGCAGCAAAAATCTTCATATATGAATGTGAAAATTCAAAAAACCATAAAGAGTTATTGCATATTATAACTCCACTACTAATCTGACTTACCTATGACACTAAAAAACAAGTTTTTTCAAATTACATAAAGCCAATGTATCAAAATAATGATTCATTTAAATATCATAAGCTATAATACCTTCAGACATATATCAAATCTCTCAAATCCTATTACTCCAGGAAATAAAGGAGAATCAAATTTATACAGATCTACCAGCTGTATGCTTATCCTTATGCTTCACTTGTATCTTGCAATTGGCTTACATTCTGGTGGAAAAGAAGAAATCAGTACTAGTGTTCCTATCAGTAAACAATTAATTCTGTGAGATATATGTGACAAAGATTCTTTTAATGGACATAGCAGACAACAGAGAGCCAGACTTTGCAGAAATTTTAAATACCATGCTCTTTTCCTTGCTGGAAAAGGAAGGAAAGAAATTCATTCTAAGACCACAACCATATAAAAGATGGTAGAATAGGAAGAATGATAGAAATGTGCATAAAAATCTTGAAGAACTCTGATTTCAAATAAATAATCTCTTCTCTTTCTGGGACAGAAGTTCTGCACATACATTGTAACACTGGATATCACCAAGCAGTCATACTGCTCAAATCATTTGGCAAACTTTCTCACAGTAAAATAGTTCCACCACTCTCCTACCAAAGGCTACAAAAGGTAGTAAGAATCCAGACACCAAGAGGGAAACCCCCATTCCCAAAGATGCATCATTAGACATCATAGGAAAGTGTTTGGATGTGATTTATTCAAATTGACTTCTCAGGAAACCTTGAACCACAAGGTGTATAAAGAGAGACCAAGAAAACTGCAACATGGTTAAGTATATTCTGTAGAAGTTCCCCTGCCTGTCAAGTTGTCCACTTGTCATTTATCTAGAGGAAATATCCCCGGGGGTTTCAAACAAAGCAGTAGTGAGCATAACACTCTGAGAAGTTGGTAGAGAGAGCACCCTATGTCCATTTATTAGACATTCCCTCTTAGTGACAAAGAGGCCATTGAACAGTAGAATAATTTTAATTTGGAAGGCACCTACAGAAATTAACTAGTGCAACCCCTGCTCGGACCTAAACAGCCCAGTTGCTCAGTGCAATGTCCAGGTGAATCTTGAACCACAGAAATCCCACAAAGTCCTTGGTTAATCTACTCCTGGGCATGACCACTCTTGATGTAATTATATTTTCCTCATATCTAATCAGAATTCTTCATGTTCCAATATGAGTTTTAGTTCTCCATCTACTTCTTGGCTCCTCCCTTTCCTGTGTCCTCCAAGCAAGCACACAGCAACAGCAATGACTGGAGGAATTTAATAAATGGTCTCCTGGAGGAATGTACTATACTTTAAGGCCCAAGAAGTGAAGTCTGGCATAAAGCTTTGTGAATATACACATCACAGAGTGTTTTACATAGACAGTGATAATTTCTTTACATAGTGGGTTGACAAGCTATCAGTGGTTGAAGGGGAGCTGATGGTGCAATGAAGCTGTCTGATAAAAAACAGACCTTAACAGATTGAGTGTGATTTTTCTCACGAGATCCATGCACTGTTTGGGAATGAAATGCAACTACTCAACATGAACAAGATGACTGAGTCTATTAACAAGAAAAATCTTACACTGGCGAGGCAGAGGGAGGTATTGGAATGATGGGAGAACCTCAACAGATGCACGAAAGGAAACAAATATTCCTGTCCTTCCTCTCTAATGAAGGTCAACTGAAACTATTTCCAAAATCTTAGTAAATACAGAGTCATAGTTATAGTGTTTCTTATAACGTGAACATTGCCTGACCTTATACCTACAGGGATTAGCTGTTCCATAGTTTAAAAGGTACCAAGCAGCCTCCCTCCAGAACTCCATGTGGCATGTTAATTGGGACTGGCATCTTGAACCTGGATTTCCTCAACTAATATATCTGCAATGTCAAAAGGTATGTCAGTAGGTGGCCCATTTTCCCTTGAGCAAGGAAGTAACTAAGTCTGAATTCTTTGCATTAGGTTATGTTGCCATGAGCTCCAGGGCTTGTAGACACAACATCAGTTTGATTTCAGGCCCCTTTGCTTTTCAAGGCTTTCTCATGAGGTAATAACTCATTGAGGCAGGAAAAATAAGGATGGTTAATACAGCACAGTTGCAACAATAAAGAGACAGAGAAACTTCCACATGAATGAGTCAATTGCTTCTGTGCCACTTTTTAAACCATTACAAATAGGTTATATCAAGAATAATCACAATAGAGAGAGCAGAAAGTTACCTTGCAATATTGGTATAGAGAGTAATAAATTAAAGTAAAATATTCTACGGTAAATATAAGACTACAGACAGGAAAAGAGATAAAAATTATTTTACCTGTTTTCTGTGAGAATGACTCTGCCTAAGAGTTGATTTTCAAGACCTTTCATGGTTACAGTAAAGTCAATGATGGAGGTTTGAGCACTAATTTCAGGAGAGTAACAAGGATTTGGCAGTTTTGTAGTAATGTAAAGTCTGAAGCCATTCATAACATCCACTTCCTTATCACCAACTTTTACCTTAAGTTAAAAAAGGTTAAAAAAAAGTCTTGAAATATAAAGAGCCAATACACACATTTTCAGATACTGCATATAGGAAAAAAGGTTACATTTTTCTGCTTAAAGGCATAAAAATCCAGTTTTAAATCATACATCTGATGCAAAAACTTTGTTAAGAACAGTCCAGGACCACCTTAAATGGCCCATTCAAACATTATTTCAACTTCTAAAAATTGTCATAAGCAAAGGAATAAGGAACTCTATGCAGTAAATATATTAACCATTTGTGAACTTAAACCCTACCTTTTTTTTTTTCTTTCATTAGCATTGATCAAATTTAAATGAGTTTAATTTTTATAGTCCTATATTTATTAGAGTTATTTTGATAAGGAGAAGTTTGGGGAGGGGAAGGGTGGAAAGGGGAATTTACATATGTTTGCTCATTTGTTTTATTTTTACCTTGTTGGCTGAACCTGTTTTAATGATTTTTCTTTCCAAAATGTTATCAAGTGCTGGGTCCAGCTCTTCTCCAATATCTTCTACTAAAAGAGGTCTTCCCAAAGAAAGGCTGTCTTCTAAGTGGTTTCTAAAATACTTGTGATTCAAAGAAGTGATCTAAAAACATAGATGCAATACCTTATGCCAATCTTTTTCTTAGTTTCATATTTATAGATTATTTCATTTTCTTTAAAGTACTGCCAAAAGCAATGATCCTGTGAGTAGACTAGTATTAATGCAAACATTGTGAGCTCAAGGAAAGGGAACATCAGCATATCCTATTGCCAGATCTCATGGAATGCAAAGTTCTATTTTTCAGCTGCAAAGATAGAAGCAATTTTGATAGAAGCAATTTTGATACCCTATGAGTACAACTACTCAAGAATTTCACAGGAAAAATTCACAGGAACCTTTTAGCACCTTCAATTTTATGTTGGATAACATCTCCGAGTCAAACTGCACCAGGGTCAATTCCAAGATAAGTATTTTTCTGTGGTTTTTTTTCACCCTTGAAAAGGAGAGGTTTACATGGAACAGAACCTTAAATAGTCTTTGCTTTAAATAGTCCCCAGTATAACTGAGATTTTCAACATGTTCAAAAAGCACATTCAGCTTAGATGTTAATAAAGTTGTAAACAAACTAATAATAATTTTTATAATAACTAAGCAACCGCTAAAGGTTTCTACACCTAGATAACAATCACCATGAAGGTGGTAGTTATATTCACAGAGCCACTCTATTAGCACACCTCAAGCTACTTTTATGGATTTCAGGGTTTTGTTTCTTTTTTAAAAAAGGCTGGTTTATTGATGTAATTATAATTGCAGCAAGTAAGAACATTCTTCCTTCTATTTTCTTGTTTGAATTGAATTTGTGTATCTTGCCTCAGACTGTACATTGTAGCACTACATCTTCCCTGTATATTTGCAGAGCACTTAGCAACTGACATCCATACTAAAACAACAAAAATTAACATAATTTCTGATTAAAAGATGAAAAAAAATCTTGCTATAACATTTATAAATGATTTTTCATTTATAAACCCTTACATAAATTGTATTAATTCAACTAGTTGGTGTTTTTCCTAACACTTACATTATTCTGAAAACATGTTTATTACCAGACAGTGCCCATCCAGCCTATTTTCCAAAGTTTATGTTCCATTAAAATAAATTCATTAAACATGGAGTTACTGATGTTAAAGGATACACTTCCATCTAATCAAATTCAAATCCAATAAAATATATCTGAGATATTCTTTATATTCAAGCCAAGCTTTTTGTATAAATATAATTTCCTAAGCATTAGGGAATCACTGAATTGTAATGCTGTAACTTTTAGGGATTTTGAAAGCACAAGCATTTCTATTACCTGAAGGTCATTTCTGCCTTCTTATTTTTAATCCAAATTTTACCCTGTGTTTGTGGATCAATTAACAAAGGATAACGAGATGCTTTAGTGACAATAATTCCATTCTGTATGGATAAGTCGTCATTTGGCAATCCTTGCAGGTTCCATTCACTGATAGTTGGAGCATCAGTCAACATTTCTATGAGGTTCAAGTTTTACGGAAAGGAATTTTCGGCTTTTCATTTCCTTTTGCCAGTCATTTAAGCAACAGCGGAACTCTTGGTTAAAAGGACCAGAATAGGACAAAAGCTGTAGCAAGAGTACATCACCTCAAAGAGAAAAGGAGGAAAAAAACCAAAACAAACAAAGCATTATAACTTTGCAATTCTATTAATGAACAAGTTTCCTTCACTAGTTGCTAGTGTTGCTATGTTTTGGCTGGTAACTGAAAAACACACTTTGACCCATAAAGAAGGCAAATCAATCTTTTTTCAAGGCTCAGTGCATGCATGACAGTGGTACATTTCAATAGAGGCACATTTACTTTGTTCTTCCTATGCAATTGTAGGAATCAAGAGATCAGCATCTGGCAGCTTTTAATTAATTCAACACACATGTATGCTGTTCCAAACACAGATCCTGCACAAGCAGGATATGGCAGAGAGGACTTAGTCATGAACTTTTAGTTCCATCATTTCCTTGTGCATTCATAGAACAGGCTAAAACAATTGGGGTGTGGTGTGTTGGGGGAGTTGGTGGGGGGCAGGGTGAACCCCTTATAAGTACTGATTCAATGAAATTACTGTAAATCAATTACAGTGATGAGTACTGGTAATAAAAACTGTCAGAGACATCATTTGGAGGTGTTAAGTGGGACAACTTTTAATCTTCTGTTCGTTTCAAAATTTCCCCCTAAATTTCATGACACCATAGTTTGAGGGGGTTTTTACCTCTGAAATAAGAATGCAAATTTAAACGAAGATATCTTACTTATACTGAGCTAGTGTTTTTTGGACACTGTCAAGTTATCTAAAAAGAAATAGGATGAATATGTAGGAAGGTATCCCAGATTTTTAATAAGTTAATACACATATATATATTATAGTCGCAAATAAACACAATTTAGTTACTATAATACAACCCATACAACAAGGCTGCTTTTGTAGCCTTGCCAGGTAAAAGTAGAGAAGAAAGTTCACCACAGTAAATGATGAGATAAATTTAATTTATTGATCTAAAAAAACCAATTATTTATTACAAAGTACTTTAGTTTACAAGTACAAATTTAAAAACCTAATCATGACCTTCTAAGAAGCAAATTCTTATGAACATTAGTAACTGCAGTTAAAAATATGATTTCTATCTATAAATGTCAGTGCCTGAGTATCAGGCTTCCTCATCTCAATATTATTCTCAGTTATACACATTTTATTAGCTCTCACTCTCTTTGGACTGTTACCTACAATATCATCAAGTTAAAATTTTAGTGTCCCAAATATATGCTCCACATTCACAGTATCCCTTATATTTCTTTTAATATGAACTTTAGCCTGATATTTATTTTTCACCTAAAAGGACTTTAGCAAGGAATTAAAAATAATTACCTTGTTTTTGAGACAGGGATCTAACATACAAAGGAAAAGTTACATTTCAAATGTTTTCAGTTCACTACTCCCTATTATTCAACAACTTGCTTCCAAGTTCAAGGTTTGGATAAAACTTACCAAAACGTCTTGGTTTGCATGGCAAATTCTTTACTCTCTTCTGTCCACCTCTCTTTTTCACCTGCTAAACCACTTATAAGACTTGAGGCAGTTTGCATTTTATGTCGCAACGTTCAGCATCTTCCAGCAGAGTCTAGAGAAAACCACGCACCAAGAGAAATGTTTACAGTAGTATGTCTGATGGCCAGAAAAATCTCTACATCTCATTAAACCAGTGGATAAACAACAGGTTAAAATATTCTAAATATCTCTATCACCATGCAGAGGAGAATGTGAGATGGAAAAAATATCAGACAAACTCTCAACATCTCCAAACATGATTCAGTATTTCTTTTAAATTCCTGTTCTTAATTTTTATTTTGGTCCAGTGTTGAATAGTATATAAAATCTTGATACTTATCACTCTGGGGAATTCTACTCAGAATTTCAAATACATTATACAATATATATACATGAATTTGAAGTTACAGTAGTATCACTGAATAAAGAATACAAATAAAATAGTTTTGAGGGTGGGAGGAAGAGAGGGGAGGATCAGAGCAAAGAGAGATAGAAAGCAAAAGAGCATATTCAAATACTATCTGTCTCTTATCTGCTGTCCATCAAAGGAATAATAGTAAAATGAAAGAACACACTAGTGTTCTTTAAAGCAAAGGGTAAGAAACTTCTTTTTGTGATGCCAGTTCACCTGTTTTTCTCTCATTGCATTTATACTCAGCCTGCACAATATCAATTCTTCTGCTGGCTCAGTTCTTCTTGAGCTTTCTGCAGATCCAGATAGCACTGTTAGTGTTTCTCTGAATTGCTAAATTAGCTACAGAGGAAATAAACCAGATAGTAATACACAGGAATTTCAAAGTATTCTATATAAATTTCAGAAATTTCCTGTAATATATCCAAATCAAACCTCTTCAGAAGATGTCAATCAGCAAAATCTTTTATTTGAATTTTACAAAACAAATTCTCTATTTCAGACAGTGCACTTGAACAGTTGCTAATGTCAATTAGACAAAAAAAAAATTAAA